CAGACTAACAGTACTAAATATTGCAAACAATATGATTACTGAAAAGTTTTTTTGATTTTTTTTGTCGTTAGGAAATACTCCATTAGGGATGTACAGTCAATTTAGTGTGTTTTTCAAATCAGTTGTAACAGTTCTTCGCTGTGTAGTTAAGGCACCAGTTATATACTTATTTTGCTTTTGATTTTTAGCAATTTCTCACATTTTGTTAATTTTCTTTTATAATTATGTGAAACATTTACATGGTTCCATAGTTAAATCTCTGAAACAAGGTATACTGAGAGAAATTGAGCCTCCATCCCTATTCTAACTGTATTTATTAGTTTTGGGCTTATCCTTCTGTTTAAAATGTAAACAAATGTGTATATATATGTTTGTAGCCCTCTCTCACCCACACACTCAGTAGACAGACAGTTGCACACTATATACACTGTTTCCACCTTGCTGTTTGAATTAATACACCCTGGAGGTCACTCCATAGCAGAGGAGCCCTGATGGCGCAGTGGTTAGGTGTTCGGCTGCTAACCAGAAGATCAGCAGTTCGAATTCAACAGCTGCTCCTTGGAAACCCTATAGGGCAGTTCTGCTCTGCTCTATGAGTCGGAATTGACTCGATGGCAACAGTTTTTTTGTTTTTGTTTTAATATTCTATTATATAGGTGTGTTCTGTGTGTTATCTTAAATGGATCCCTATCGTGGACATTTGATTGTTTCTAGTCCGACTATTACAAACAGTGCAGCTGTGAAAAGCCTTGTTTATGTGTCTTTTCATATTTTTGCCACTTATCTTTAGGGCGAGTTCCTAGAAATGAAATTCCTGGGTCAGATGGGAAGTATATAGGCAATTTTGCTGGATATTGCCAAATTCCTCTTTTTGACGGGCAGTGCCACTTTGTATTCCCATCAGCAATATATGAGAATAACTGTTTTCCCACAGCCTTATCAACTGATTGTTATCAAACTTCACAAAATATTTTAAGTAGATCTGTGTTTTAGAGTCTTCACTTTGGCAAAAGTATGATATGGATTGGAAGGTGTGATCCTAAAGGCAGGAAGATACGTTGGGCTTTGACAGTAGTCTCAGAGAAACGCAGGTCAGAACTAAAGGAGTGGAGTTACATTGCAGAAGTGTTAAAGGAATAGCATCAAGAGGACTTAGTAACTGGATGGAGGCATTATGAGGGGTTTTCTGCAGAGAATACTGAGCAACAGCAGATTATGGGATGGCAATTTTCATTTTGGATGCCTTGAATTTGAGGTGCTTCTCAAACAGCTGGGTTAGAGATGTGGTTGGATGTATGAATCTGAGAGAAAAGTTTGGGCTAGAGTGGAGATTTATAGTCAACACTAGAAATGCTGTCAAGATGTATAGATAAAGGTGCCCAGGAAAAGAATGTTGGTCATATTAGGTAATATTTGAGCACCTGTCATGTGTTTGACTTTGACAAATGTAGTTTTATGGTTTTGGAATTTTTTTGTTTTTAAATGTAGCCATTGATTTACATCTCTGCTTAGAATTAGAAAAATTATAGTTCATTTTCGTGACTTATCTTTTGCCCCCATGCGTCAGTCAGTTTGTCATGCCTTGGGGGCTTGCGTGTTGCTGTAATGATGGTTGCTATGTTACCAGTATTCAAATACCAGCAGGGTCTTCCATGGTGGACAAGTTTCAGCTGAGCTTCCAGACTAAGACAGACTAGGAAGAAAGACCCGGGGGTCTACTTCTGAAAAAAATTAGCCAGTGAAAACCTTATGACTAGCAGCAGAACGTTGTCTGATATAGTACTGGAAGATGAGCCCCTCGGGTTGGCAGGCACTCAGAAGATGGATTGACACAGTGGCTGCAACCGTGGGCTCAAGCATAACGATTGTGAGGATGGCACAGGACCGGGCAGTGTTTCATCCCGTTGTACATAGGGTTGCTATGAGTCGGAAACGACTTGACGGCATCTCACAACGACAACATCTTTTACAGACGTACTGTGTATACTATGCTATAAGAACTTATAATTCTGTTATAAAATTGTGCAAATTTAGTTTCCGTATAAACATAGCTTGAATTACCTTGCTTTGTGTAGAATGATTTGTTTTGCCTTCTCACCTCCTATAAACATGATTTAATATACAGTTTAATATACAAAGTTGAATGTACCACTTTGTTCAAAATATTTCCATTCTGGTTATCTAATTTTGACAAACTTAGACACTTGGAGAATATTTTTTGCCAATGAAATACATTTTTCTTTTACTGTATTATAAATAAACCTACAGAATGATGATAATGTCATAATGTCAAAATATACTTTTCACATTACAGCTGAGAATCTTCATCTAAAATAGAATAGTTTCTATCTTACATGACCTTAAGAATTTTGAGGCAGGAAACGAATTCACAACTTTAGAACTAGAAAAGCTCTTAGAGATCTAATTTAACATTTTCATTTATAGGTTGAGAAAAATCTTGGTTGTTTTTCTGACCAAGCCAATGTGAAACAGCATGAGTGCATAAACACCAAATGTTGGGCTAGCGTCTCCTAAATTTAGTCACTAAAAAGAGGGGTTGAAATAGAGGGAGAAAAGTAGAACCATAGACCTGACTTGGTACTTGTCAGTTTATTTCTTTAGGATTATTTCTATGTAATAATGACAAAATATTGGCAACTGACATTTACTTACCCTATCAGGTATTAAGCATTTTACAAGTCTTATTTTAGTTCTCAAAACAACCATATGAGGTATAGTTACCATTAGATACATTTTACAGATGAGAAATAGTTGCAGAGAGGTTTAGTAACTTTCCCAAGGACACACAGTAGCAAGAAGCTAAATTGGAAAATCTATCCCAGACAGGCTGAAAATAGAACATATTTTGAATCAAGATACCAGGATAATAAAGGGATTCAAAACCTTGTCACGTGGATTGAAGGAACTAAAAATAATGTTTTTCCTTGGAAGAGAAGATTGAGGGTGGCAGGGACATTCAGACTGTCAAATATTAGGTCGTCTGTTGTAGGGAGAATGTATAGATTTCTTCATAAAACCAAGGGATAGAGTGAGTTCTAAAAACTTATCTTAAATCTAGTATCGAGTATCCTTTCTTTCCTATGTCAGAGTTATTTGAAGACAGAATGACTTTTCTTGGGGGTAAAACTGCTCCCCTCCCCCCATCACTTACTGTCTGAACAGAGGTTGGATGGTTGTTTGAAAGGCTTGTTGGAGAAGGGAATTTTGACACTCAGTAGGTAAATGGATCAGATAGTCTCGGAGGCCCCTTGCCAATCCTGAGTTGTTTTTTTTTTTAACTAAAACTTGAAGACATTTGATTAAATGGGTTGATTAGCTAAAGAGTCCACACAGAATTAATATGCATTTATTCTAAATGAATTGGGTATGCCGTGACGGTCCTAAGCTTCCCTGGTCCTTGTTCACTTTGGAAGAACCAAGGCCAGCCACTAGAGCTGCCTCCAACTTCAGTTCCACTTTTATTTTGAGAAGACCACTCTTAGTTGGTTAAGCATTAAAAGACTCTCTTCCCTTGGTTTCTACCTTGATAATGGTGTTTCACACTAGGGTATACTATAATTATTCTTCTGTTCCTATAGCACAGTGGGTTCTCAAACTTGAGCGTGCCTCAGAATCATCATGAGGATTTGTGAAAACACAGATTGCTGGACCTCATCTCCAGAGTTTCTGACTCAGTAGGTCTGGAGTGGGTCCCAAGAATTTGCATTTCTAACACATTCTGGTGCTGTTCTGGGGACCACACTTTGAGAACCACTGCTCTAGTTTGACCTGTCCCAGTAGATTGAGCTTTTCAAAGTGGAAACCAGATGTTACTCATTTCTTGATTCCTCCACTACCTAGCAGTGTATAAAGATGGCCAGTCTTAATTTTGTAGAAACCAAGTGTGGACTGTTGATCCCAAGAAATAGGTCTAAAATCAAGGAACCTTCTAAAGCTTTAAATTCAGGTCAGGTTTAGGTTTATGTTAAAGCTTACCTTTAGAAATATGAGTAAAATCAAGATTCTGCTAGAATTATTTCACATGGTCCCACTTTCTGATACATGTAAAATTACGTTTTCTTGCCATTACTAGAGAGCTGGCTGCATGAAAGAACTAAAATCTTATCTTTCTCATCTTGGGAAAATGGAGGCTATTGGCAAATAGCAGAACTTGATTAACTGTTTCCCAGTTCAAGAAGAGATCAACATCTAAACCTATTAAAATAATTCTTAAACTTTGTTAAGAAAATGTAGAACAAGAAGAACTTGTGTTTTTACCTACCTGTACTTCTCCAAAAGGAGCCTGGTGGTCCAGTGGTTAAGCAGTCAGCTGCTAACAGGAAGGTCTGCAGTTCGAACCTACCCAACAGCTCCACAGGAAAAAATACCTGGCAATCTGCTCTCATAAAGATTACAGCCTAGGAAACCCTATGGGGCAGTTCTGCTCTGACCTACAGGATCGTTATGAGTCGGAATCGACTCGATAACATACAACACCACCTCCACCAAGCTGGCAAAGAATGCCTTATTAAGACTGTCCTAAGAATTATTTTACTCTGGAATTAAAATCATGAATATATATCATCTACTTTAAGTGGTGTTAAGAAGAATGTATAGTCTGTCATTCAGAATATCCAGATTACAACAATAATACCTGCCTGAATATATAGGTTACCTGTCGTATGTTTTAGAGAAATCATGTGTAGCCCTCTTAAAGTAGATATGATGGTCATTCCTAAACACGAGGATCAATGCTTGCCTGATGCTCTACAAGCCACATCCCACAGAACCCAACCCATTGGCATCACAGTACAGGGGAGAGGCCAACATAAAGTATACCTTTTATTAAAGACAGTTGAAACTTGCTTTACTTTTTCTCTTATTGTGTATCTAGATGGGTAACCCTGCACAATTAGGTTTTTATATATGTTGCTTCTAATTTCAGTATTCTTTGGAGGTAATCATAAGAATGTTCCGTGGTTCTCTTTCCCCCTCCTCAGATACCCGGAAAGTGGTACTCTAGAAATGAACGTCAAGGATCTTCGCCCACGAGCTAGAACCACTTTGAAATGGAATGAACTAAATGTTGGCGATGTGGTAATGGTTAATTATAACGTAGAAAGTCCTGGAGAAAGAGGATTTTGGTTTGATGCAGAAATTACCACACTGAAGACGATTTCAAGGACCAAGAGAGAACTTCGTGCGAAAATTTTCCTTGGGTGAGATTCTCCTCACTGATAATGACATTTAATTACTGAATTAAACAAAGGATGTCATTTGTAGGTATTATGCACGTGTCCCTTAGTAACAAGGTGGAATCTATGAAAAATGGAACTTTCTTTGCTGTAGAAGAACTTTTTTATTAAGTCTTGAGAAATTTTGATTAAGAATGGCACTTACATCTCTGGTGCTACTTTAAGGTTGGAGCTGTTCTTTGGGAGCATCTTGGAAATAACTTGAGTATTTTATTAGAGAAATCCTTACTTACTGCTCAGAATTCTTACAGATTTAACAAAGTTACATACAAAGGCATTTTAGTAGCTATGATTGCTATAGGGTTCTATATTGATATAATAGTATGTCTGCCTAACCAGCTAGCTATCTGCTGGACTTCTAAGACTAGCTGAAAATTTCCTTCACAGCCATTTTCTTCAACTTCCAGAATTTAACAAGCTCAATGAGGTGAATTCAAAATGCAAAAAGCCAGCTGATATACCAAATTACTCAAGTGTTACCATCATTAATTCTTTAAAAAATACATTTACACGTTTCCCCTAAGTGGTATGATACTATGCATTGTTTCACAGCTACCTTTTTTCACCTAGAAAAATACTGTCGCTATTTTCTGTGTTAGATTCTTCTGAATAGAGTTTATTGGCTAGATAGTCATGGATTTACTTTTAAAGAAAGGAAATCTCAGTTCAATTATTTTCAGTTCTTTGTTAAATATAATGTTTCAGTAAACATCCTTGTATATGCATCTTTGTACATTGCTTTTCTTTACTATTAATTCTTAGAAGTAGATTTGTTGTGTTGAACACTGAGGATTCTAGAATGGTCCTGACAGTTTTCTTTTACATAAGAGAAGCAGCTAAACTAATATTCTTGCCAGGTACTGGCTAGCTGGATTACTAGTGTCATGGAGATGACATATTGGGGAACAAATATCTGCATATGGTTAAAAATAATTTAAAGCAGAGGTCAGCAAGCTATAGCTTACAGGTTGCATGTTTTTGTAAGTAAAGTTTTATTGGGACACAGCCATGCCCATTTGTTTATGTATCATCCATGACTGCTTTCATGCTCGTTTGCGACTGAGACCATCTGGCTTGCAAAGACTAAACCATCTACTTTCTGACCCTTTACAGAATATGTTTACTCTGGAGATAAAGAAGAATTGTGAGATGCTAAAAATAGCTTATATTTTAGAAAACCAATTTTAGAACTGTCTACAAACAAAGGTAATTCTCTTGCTAGACTAAGGATGTAGCTCAATTGCAGACTTCTTAATAATCTGAAGTTTTGATATGGATACAAGTCATGATGATGAAAAGGAGAAAACATATAAATAAATTGGCCGTGTAGGGAACCTTTTAATGTACATAAGTGTGTTGTTAGGTGCTGTTGAGTTGATTCCGACTCATAGTGACCCTGTGTACAATAGAATGGAACACTGCCTGGTCCTTCGCCATCCTCATAATGGTTGCTGTGTTTAAGCCCACTATACCAATCCATCTTGTCGAAGGTCTTCCTCTTTTTCGCTGACCCTCTATTTACCGAGCATGATGTCCTTCTCCGTGGACTAGTCCCTTCTGATAACATGTCTAAAGTACAAGAAACTAAGTCTTAACATCCTTGCTTCTAAGGAACATTCTGGTTGTACTTCTTCCAAGACAGATTTATTCATTCTTCTGGGAGTCCACGGTATAGTCAGTATTCTTTGCCAACACCATAATTCAAAGGCATCAATTCTTCTTTGGTCTTCCTTTTTCATTGTGCAGCTTTCGCGTGCATATGAGGTGATTGAAAACACCATAGCCTGAGTCAGGTGCACCTTAGTCCTTAAAGTGACTTCTTTGCTTTTCAACACTTTAAAGAGATTTTTTGCAGCAGATCTGCCCAGTGCAATGTGTTGTTTGATTTCTTGACTGCTGCTTCCACGGGCGTTGATTGTGGATCCAAGTAAAATGAAATCCTTGGCAACTTCAAACTTTTCTCCATTTATCATGATGTTGCTTATTGGTCCAGTTGTGAGGATTTTTGTTTTCTTTATGTTGAGGTGCAATCCATACTGAAGACTGTATTCTTTGATCTTCATCAGTAAGTGCTTCAAGTCCTCTTCACTTTCAGCAGGCAAGGTAGTGTCATCAGCATATTGCAGGTTGTTAGTCTTCCTCCAGTCCTGATACCATGTTCTTCATATAATCCAGTTTTTCAGATTATGTATTCAGCATGCAGGTTGAATAAGGATGATGAAAGGAATACAATCCTCACACACACCTTTCTTGACTTTAAACCATGAAGTATCCCCTTGTTCTGTTTGAACGACAGCCTCTTGGTCTATGTAAAGGTTCCTCATGAGCACAATTAAGTGTTCTGGAAATCCCATTCTTCACAATCTTATTCATAATTTGTTGTGATCCACGCACTTGAATGCCTTTGTATAGTCAGTAAGGCACAGGTAAACATCTTTCTGGTATTCTCTGCTTTCAGCCAGGATCCATCTGACATCAGCAGTGATATACCTCATTCCATGTCCTCTTCTAAATCCGGCTTGAATTTCTGACAATTCCCTGTCAATGTACTGCTTCAACCATTTTTGAATGATCTTCAGCAAAATTTTACTTGTGTGTGTTATTAATGATATTGTTCAATAATTTCCACATTCTGTTGAATCACCTTTCTTTGGAATGGGCACAATACAAATACGGATCTCTTCCAGTTGGTTGGCCAGGTAGCTGTTTTCCAAAATTCTTGGCATAGACAAGTGAGCACCTCTAGCTGCATCCGTTTGTTGAAACATCTCAATTGGTATTCCGTCAATTCCTGGAGCCTTGTTTTTCACCAGTGCCTTCAGTGCAGCTTGGACTTCTTCCTTCTGTAGCATCAGTTCTTGATCATACGCGGCCTCCTAAAAAGGTTGAATATTGACCAATTCTTTTTAGTAAAGTGACTCCGTGTATTCCTTCCATCTTCTTTTGATGCTTCCTGCATCATTCAGTATTTTCCCTGTAGCATCCTTCAGTATTGCCAACTCGAGAACTGAATTTTTTATTCAGTTCTTTCAGGTTGAGAAATACTGAGCATGTTCTTCCCTTTTGCTTTTCTAACTCCAGGTCTTTGCACATGTCAATATAATACTTAACTTTGTCTTCTTGAGCTGCCCTTTGAAATCTTTTGTTCAGCTCTTTGACTTCATCATTTCTTCTGTTTGCTTTAGCTACTTGACGTTCAAGGGCAAGTTTCAGAGTCTCTTCTCACATCCATTTTGGTCTTTTCTTTCTTTCCTGTCTTTTTGTTTTCCTTACTGTGCTTTGGGTGAAATTTTACAGCTCAAGTTAATTTCTCATACAAAAATTTATACACACATTGTTATGTGACCCTAGTTGCAATCCCCACAATGTGACAGCACACTCCCCCTTTCCACCATGGGTTTCCCGTATCCATTCAGCCAGCTCCTATACCTTTCTGCCTTCCCATCCCACCTCCGTGTATCTACTTGAACTAAGAAGCACACTCCTTACAAGTATTATTTTGTGTTTTTTGTCCAGTCTAATCTTTGTCTAAAGAGTTGACTTCTTTCCTTTCTTTTAATGGCCTCTTGCTTTCTTCACGTATGATGTCCTTGATGTCATTCCACAACTCTTCTGGTCTTCGGTCATTAGTGTTCAGTGCATCACATCTATTCTTGAGAAGGTCTCTAAATTCAGGTGGGGTATACTCAAGGTTGTATTTTGGCTCTCGTGGACTTATTGTAATTTTTCTCAGCTTCAACTTGAACTTGCGTATGAGCAGTTGATGGTCTGTTCCCCAGTCGATCCCTGGCCATGTTCTGACTGATATTGAGCTTCTTCATCGTCTCTTTCCACAGATGTAGTTGATTTGATTACTATGTATTCCATCTGGCGAGGTCCATGTATATAGTCACCGTTCATGTTGTTGAAAAAAAGGCATTTGCAATGAAGAAGCCATTGGTCTTGCAAAATCATATCATGCAATTTCCGGCATTGTTTCTATCACCAAGGCTGTATTTTCCAACTACTGATCCTTTTTCTTTGTTTTCAACTTTTGCATTCTAATCACCAGTACTTATCAATACATCTTGATTACATGTTTGATCAGTTTCAGGTTGCAGAAGTTCATAAAAATCTTCAGTTTCTTCATCTTTGGCCTTAGTGGTTGGTGCATAAATTTGAAGAATAGTCGTATTAACTGGTTTTCCTTGTAGGCGTATGGATATTTTCCTACCGCTGACAGCGTTGTACTTCAGGATACATCTTGAAAAGTTCTTTTTGACAATGAATGCAATGCCGTTCCTCTTCAATTTGTCATTCCTGGCATAGTAGACCATATGATTGATTGAAAATGACCAATATCAGTCCATTTCAGCTCATTAATGCCTAGGATAGCAATCTTTATGCATTCCATTTCATTTTAGATGACTTCCAGTTTTCCTAGATTCATACTTTGTACATCCCACATTCCTATTATTAATACATGTTGCAGCCGTTTCTTCTCACTTTTAGTCGTATCATGTCAGCAAATGAAGGTCCCAAAAGATTGGTTCCATCCACGTCATTAAAGTGGACTCTACTTTCAGCAGGCAGCTCTTCTATAGTTGTATTTTGAGTGCCTTCCAACCTGAGGGGCTCATCTTCCAGCACTATATCAGACAGTGTTCTGCTGCTATTCATAAGGTTTTCACTGGCCAGTTTTTTCAGAAGCAGACCGCCAGGTCCTTCTTCCTAGTCTGTCTTAGTCTGGAAGCTCAGCTGAAACTTGTCTGCCATGGGCGACCCTGCTAGTATTTGAAGTATCAGTGGCATAGCTTCCAGCATCATAGCAACATGCAAGCCACCACAGTATGACAAACTGACAGATGCGCAGTGGTACTTGGGTGTAGAAGGTATTTAAAAAGTATGTATACACAAAGGGGAAGATACTGGTACTCGCTGCATTGAGCTAAATGCTTGTATTTTGAAACTATTTCCCAAAGTGA